ATCATTAGTAACAACATTATTAGTATGAGGATCTACAAGAGAAGGAATAGATTGTGAAGTTCCAGTTGAATTCATTAACCTTTTAATAAGTCTCCAATAAGATTTTGGATCAGACGACACAAATTCTTCAATTATACCATGAACATTCTCATAAAATAATAAACGGGCGTGTTTTTTCATGTTGTTAACCTTATTTCGTTGAGACTTAAATTTATTAACATCCGAAAGGCGCTTGGTTGACCTCGCGATTTTATGTAACCTATCACGAATTCTCAAATTTTTCCTTAATTCAGAGGTCATCCAAGGTTTATCATTAGGTCTAATAGTGACCACTTTAGATGGAATGCATGAATTCGCAAAATCTAAAAAAATATCAGTAAAACGTTCACAAGCAATATCAATTGTGTTACAATTAAGGAAAAGATCATTCCAATTATAATTAGAAATAAGATTATTAAACGTTCGGAAATCAGCCCTTTTATACATCCAGATTTTACGCTTATAAATAGATCTAAAAGCACATGGAAGATTAATGCAAGCAGTACAGCTATCATGATCACTGAAGGATTTATCAACTGGTATTATAGAAGAATCAATACAAGAAATAGACTGAGTTAAGAGAATGGGATCCAGAAGGCTGGATCGAGTTGGTCCAGTACGAGTTGGTTCGTTTATGACATTAATCATACTAAAAGAACTTATAATTTCGAAAAGATAATGGTTAGGAGATGCAGTTAATAAGTGGACATTTAAATCACCAGTTACTGTTATATTTGGTGTTATGTCTAAAGCATTACTAATAGATGTACGCAGATTGTCCCAAAAGGGTAACACAGAATTTTCTGGTCTATATGCTGTACCTATGATGAAAGACGAAGTGGTTAGTGTGATTTTAATCCAAATTACCTCATCCCCAGGAAATTCTAACTCCGGTAAGCGGTTAACTTTTAGAAGATCGTTTATGTAGACCAGAACACCTCCACCAGCAAAATTCCTATCAAGTCGAAAAGGTTCATGAAATCCAGCTATAAGTAAATCATCTGTAGGTATCTGATCATCTAAATGGGTTTCTGTTAGACATACAATATCATACTCACCTGCTATATCTTCTACATAATCAAGTTTATTCCTAACACTTCTGATATTAAGGTGAAAAATCGAAAGCTCGTTAAGCCCCGGGCCAGGATTGGATTCAATGTCCATATGTTGCAATAAAAGTAGCAACAAGATTACTGAAAATTCAAAATTTTGAAAACAGGAGAGCAATAATTTATTTAAACTATAGATTGACCAAGAAAGATAAAGACGACCACAGTCGAACATGCTTAAAATTAACCTGAGATTTAATGATAAAAATAGAAGTGATTTCATAACGCATTTACCGTAGACCTTTGAATAGAAGATACCGATCGCTATTCTGTGACACATGTAAGAATCACCCATTATCAAATAAACCGAGACGTAAGTTTACAAAATAGCGAAACGGTATCATACATAGTAGACAGTGTGCAAACCAGCAAAAGGTTTTGTTTATCTGCGTAAATGAGAGGAAATGAGCAAAAAAACAAAAACAAAAAAAGCCCTGATGTGAGCATACAAAAATGAAAAATTACATGTAAAAAAGGCAATAAGCCGGATAATCAAAGTCACGTGAAGTAATGAGTTAATCGACATATCGACATGTAGACACAGGCAGACAGTCATACAGTGGTTAACATAATAAAACATAACATATGTACAATAATGATAGTAACTTGTAGTACGAGTCATGACAGAACGATGTGGTACATAGTGATTCTGTGAGAACATCAAAGAAAATGAGAGATTACGATACTATTGTAAATTGAAACGAAATTGGATACTAAAAGATTGGTAAGGTATGCTGACATTGATTATTTGTTCATGTACTTGAGAAGACGATGTTCAGGCAGGTATGAATTATATACATGTATTCAGTAATATATGAATAAGATCCAATATTTTTACTCTCAACGACCTTCCTCATGCAATATATACTTGCAGTCATATAAATTTGAAAAGTGTTTACATATAAGCACAGAGATATATACAAACATTCACACATGTGTGTGTATAATTGCACACATACACGATACCCGTTTATGCTGTAAAGTGCTTTAATTATGCGGTGTCAAAAAAACTTGACCCGTGAACACAATTTCGCCGGAGATTTGAAATTCGCGCACTGATAGAAAATCACGCATATACATGTAGTGAAATGTAACGTCCGCGAAATAAAAACGCTTTACGGTATACACACACACACCTTCTCTCGCTCACACACATACATCCATCACACTCACACACACCCTCACACACACGTGCACGCATATATACACATGTTCACGCGCACAGACATACGTGACAACTCACGCACGCACTAACGTAGACACCTGCGAATGCACATGTGTACGTTTACAAACGCACAGACATACCACCACCACCACACGCACACACCTCAAGAACACGTACGCACACACACACTCACACACCCACCCTCACACATCATCACACACACCATCACACGCACGTGTACACACACAGGCAAATACAATACTATAAGGTTTTACAATATATACATATAACCACATATATATACATAATTATCACCAATGTATGTACAAATAGCACGCACGCGCAAACCTCTTTAATATAGTTGTATACACATGCACTTATACTAATTTATCCGCTCGCTCATCGAAACATCACCTGTCCATCCATGCGTGAATGCGCACGTATTCACACAATCATGCACGCACATAGTGCACAAACATGTACAAAGCAGATATAACAGTTGCTTGTATGTTGCTAGATGTCAGCATATTGTTATATTTACAATTATTACAAATCCGTATACATTTTTGTGTATTCTGTTTCAACTTACACACAACACGTTTCATATCAAGTTGGTAAATATACATAGTTGCAAAACATTGTTTTCATTTGTAATGGACACATTGAGCATGAAAATATCTACATGCATAAGTTTTGTACAAGTTTACGATAAATGATCTACAGTAGAACAGTGAAACCGACATGGAACTTTCAGGAACACTGACGGCTGTATCAGTGATAGAAAACAATGATTACAAGGGTAAGTACGCAGGAACATGTACACAGATCTCAAGCATGTAACTAAAGTATATGATTTAGTACAATCGAAACTCACTAAGGTAAAATGTCAATGTTGTGAGCTTCAATTGATTTAAGTATTTTATTCAAACATTTTTAACATACTATATATGTCATCGTTTATAGGTGCGTACATACAACTTCTAGGGGGGAAAAAACCCAATATCTATTAAACAGAGTATTGAATGATCAATGTCATCAACGGAAGTTGATGTTCACTCTAGGCGAGATACATCGGCACTGGTTTTGATCAGAATTTTCGCGTCGTTACCATGTACTTTTGCGAAGATTCGCCCATCTGTGGTCCAGAATGAACTGATTTTGCCGGTTTTACGTAGGATGTTCAGCCGGTTCACGAGACTTTGTCTTTTGCTTGTAAAACTTTCGGTAATGAAAATGCTGTCTTTATTACCTTTCAAATTCTTTTTGTTTGAGTAGACTCGTTGCCGGCAAGAATAACGGACGAAACGGGCTATAATAGTACATTTACCATTCCTGGATTTCCCGATGATGTGAGTACGAGACAGATCATCGGGGAGGACTTTGGCATGAACTCCACTGTTACATATGTCTAATACAGCTTTGGTCGTGTCAAACCCTTTCGCTCCTTCGGAGTCCTCGGGGAGGGGTACATTAACAAATTTCAGACACGTTCTTCGCGAATATTGTTCTTGCTCTTCAATTGCATCTTTGGAGACCGAGTCTGATACTTGGAGATCTGTAATTCGTTTTTCGAGCTCGTAAATTTTGTGTTCGTGTGGTTTGACTATGTGTTCAACTTTGTTGTTGACCATACTATTAAAAAGTACATCATCTTTTAACCTGTTTTCAATAACTTGTTGTATCTGTGGTACTATTTGCTCCATTATGGTAGTCTGTAGTGCATTTGATACAAGGGCTGCCACTGGTTGGACAATTGCGCTTATCATTTGGTTCATGAAAGTTTGGTTGGACAGTATATTGGAAAGATCCACGGTAACCCCTGAACCTATACTGGTTTGGAGTCCCGGCATAGTTGGTAGTTGGGGGATCGAGTAAGCAACAGAAGGACCGGTTAGGACTTTTTTGGGGGCATGCAGGGAATCAGTTACACTAGGCGATTCAGGACTGCAGAAAGTTTTACGTTTGTCAGAAACATTCACAATAGGTGATGCATACTGTTCAGCCTGTTCTTTAGTGAAGGGACATGGGTTTGTTGTCAATGTTCCACCTGGCTGACCACTATTATTTGGTATTACCTGTTGTACCTGTTGTACGTGTACCTGGTGACCACTGTCCGTGGAATGTAGAGTAGCCATTGTACATGAAAGGTGAAGACACAAACACAAATAACACTCCAAAAAGTCAATGTAGGATGGAAGCACACAGACAGTTCGTATCAATGGTACATACACTAATGTATGGCAAAGTTTGGTTATCGATCTCAACACAGAAATTGATTAAAAGGTATACAGTTCTCACAGCTCACATTACACAACCTGTCCTTAGCTCATCACGTGACCATACCAGGAACATCTGGTCTTATTCTCCTTGTACCTTTTTTTTCAGGAGTCTCCGTGTAAATCTTTCTTTTGTTCATATGTTACCCTAGTTTTATTGAATTTGATTTTGGATAATGATTGTGTTGACGTGTTGGTTTTTTTCTTGGTATTTTGTTTTTGGTGTATGCAAGTTGCTTGTTTAAAAAAGAATTTATTTTTATAATAGCCAGAATTAACAGATCTTACAACAAATGTGCACAATCGTTTCCAAGAAACATTTGAAATTATTCTGCAATGAATCCGTCTGAACTTTATTATTTTCTATTTTAGTTTAATGTATCCCTGCTTCCTCCAATGTCATACTATTGTCTAACTTTTTGAATCCGTAAGATCTAATTTTTGGAACATAACAAAAGGATAAAAACCCAGGTGAATTGATATCGTCTGTAGCATCCAAATCATCTTAAAACATTGATACATCAATATCTAATTTAATTCAATTTGTCACTAATGATGTTTATAGAAAACTAAATACATTAAGTATTTATTAGTACAATAATATATTGATCTACTAATAGTTTTCATTTGTTATACCTCACTAATAATGCTAACATGTTTGTATTATGTGTTCACACGATTGTAGTGTTGTATAAAATATGTTTGTGCAATATTGCCTTTATACACTTGATAAAAGAATACTTCGCCAATATCTGGTAAACTTCCCCAGAACGAGGCATTAGGTACAACCTCTCTACCCTGGGCGTGATGGACCATCTTCTTATAGAACATACCTCTAATAACCGGTGACTACTTACCTTGACAAGACCAGGTAAACTTCCCCAGAACGATAAATTGGGTATAATCTCTTTCCCATTAGTGTGGCGTATCATCTTCATATATAAAATACCTCCAACCATGTAAGAAAAGCCCAGCGACAGAGCACTAGAAGAAAAATGTGATCTTTTCCGTTTTGCCTTTTTAACGTATATCTCTACCATGATTTATATAAGATTAGAAAATGACAGTTACTTGAATATTTTCAGGTGAAACGATTTGTATTTATATGGATTCGACGGTTTTTCAATAGGGTCTGCATTTTTGTAATGTTAAAAAAATCCAATATAAACGAGGAAGGTCCGTATTATTTTTATTAATGAGCGATCAGATTTGTTAAATATAGAAACGTGATAGACATATAACGTACTTACACAATGATAATTGTGGTTCCAACACTGAGAACCCCTGTTGACCTGTTTGGTGGTTGCGATTTGGTGTCACATTGCCCCGCACAGCCACATTTTGAGTATAAGATGAACTCCTTTTCGCAAAAAAGGCAAAATATGGAGAATACTGTAGTGTATTGTATATATCATATGATATATTAGATCGCCTATTATCCATTGTAATCGGATTACTCTGATTTACATAATATTAGTTATTATTTCTTGAACATTAATTTACCGAAACAAACGATGCAAAATATGCTGCTATTTTCTGTGTATGGAAGGGGTACTTGTATCATAATTATGTTATTGACCAGCTGCTTTCTAGCGTGATCACAAAAATTACATTTAACGCGCGGCATCTGTAGATATACGGAATCGTCTTACATAGATCAGGGACCCCTTTAAGGTCTCCCCATTGGTGGTAACTATAGGTGGGTCGGCCGAGGGACTACATATCATCGTCACGTCGGTGATCCTGTGGATGTTTCGTCAGAAGAAAAATTAGATTGAAGAAATGATCAAACCGACACTGTACCTCCTTGTCAAATACCATGGTACCAATCTTGTGTTCTGCTTTTAACAAACACACAAAATGCCAAAGGTAACTAACTGATAATGATTTTAATCCTGCGCCGGTTTTAAAGAAATGTTTCATATGTATTTATTTTACAATATAGAGGATATCACGTGAATGATGATGTAATATGGAATTTTAACGAGATCAGTTATTTATATTAAAAAGATTCTATTTATAATTTAACCCATAATTCCCAATTATTTCCCCACTTAACAGACATTTTTCAGCGTCTTTCACAACCGAGACAATTTTATGACATAATCAACACGTTACTTATTTATGACGTCACAATAGTGTTGTTACCCATGCTCCTTATGATAAGTTATGTAATGTGAAACCAGCCATAGAATAAAGCCAAAAACAATACCAGTGAGAACCTTAGCTTACACTATATATTTAGATAAGGCTGTTTCTATCAGGTCCTAGGGTCGTTTTTGCTCGATATTGAACCCTCAACTTCCGGTTTATTAGTCAACTGATTGAACTAAAGGGTACCACGACTGTATAGAACTTGTATAATCAATTCATAGACTATTTTGGGTTGTAAAAAAGCTTGTTTATATTTTGTGTTCAATATTTAAAATTGTATTGGAATTTGCAGTCGAACATTAAAACTAGCTCGACACTTTTTATCGTCACAAGTAGTCATCTAGAATTATGTAACCTATCAATCCCTAAATCCAAGAATGTTACATTACCTTACGACACCATTTCCATCTGTATTGGTGTATTTGATGTGGACCTGGTTCAAAGTGTCCATGGAGAACTTGACGTTTGCGGAGTCCCCTATAGCGAAACCGCTTGTTCCGTTAGTGGTAATTTGGCACGCCTGTATATACCAATCATCTCAATCTTAACGTCAAAATAGCCTCAGTAAAAGAATAGCAAGCAAAAGACATGTTCACGTGCGAAACAGACTCCTGAGATTTGTCAATGAATTTGGTAAATGCTGTAGAATCGTTCATTTACGTGAGGGTTTTATTTTCCTGAATGTTGTTGGTACTCTAAAGCCATGAATCAGTCCAGTGATATGTTAATAATTAACAGTTTGATATACACATTATTTTAACCAGGATGTACTTTGTTGCTTTACGTCCTATCAACAGCCGGGGTCATTTATGAATTGTCAGGCCACAGTTTCAAGAATCTGCCTTGGTTAAGGAAAAACTTGAATTTAAGGAAAATTCCTTAACTTATGTAATGCTTTCCTACTGGGAATTTTAATTTAAGAAAAATTCCTTAAGTCAAGGAAGATTCGTAAAACTGGGGCCAGACTTGAATAGTGTAGGAAGTCGGAATAAAATCAAAGTACTGAAATACTGAGAGGCTAAACGTATTGAAAAAATGTTCACAAATAACCTCAAAGCTATATTACTTTCCCCATACTCCTACACTTTGGAATTAAAAAATTACTAAAATAAGAGAACCAGAGGCTATTTTTCTTAATTTTAAGCGATTATATATCTTCTTTAATTCTTATTTCAAATTTGACGACAATAATGTGAACAAATCAAAATAGGTAAAAAAAAATAACAAAATACACACAACCATATATTTATCGCCAACAAGCCAAATGATAAATAGCTCTATGATGAAGTTGACTAAATAAAACCTTTGAAATACCCAAGATGTTGCAATTACTATCCTATCAATATGAGGATTTAAACAAATCGAAAGGACTTTATACCTTCTTCTTTATTTTGAATATATTGCAAAGTAATAGTCCTTACTTATGATTATATTTGTACTTGAGGAAAGTAGATAAGGTGTACACAGCATTTCAGATAGATTAAAGTGTGCCGTAAATTTGCGGGTATAGTGCGCACTCTGGTATAGTGCGCAGGTACTTTTTGGGGGTCAGATTAAAAAAAAAGTTTTCTACAGAAAGATTAATTGATTACTGGTTACCGCGATGAAACAGTTGTGGTTTGATCCATTGACAATTAGGAAACCACAATCATCGTGACCCTAACATAATTAATTACCTTACGTAAACAAATTCACTCAGGTACCTGATTTAACAAGCATGAAAGGCTTGGCTTATTGGATAATTAACGGTTCTTAACAGGTAACAAGCACATCGAGTATGAGGTAAGTAATTACATTAAATGTATTTACATGGCTATCTTCCTTGAAGTTTCATGGTTAGAGTTTTCTTCCAGTAATTATGTCTATAAAGACATAGTTCTTTGAGATTAAACCAGACTTCCATATATATACAAAATTTACAATATTTTCACTATTACTACTACTATTTCTGATCTCCAATGCATTAGATAATGTCACCATGACACGCTAAATGAATAAATATGTTATGGAAATATTTCGTTCTAGTTAATTGATAATTATAAACATGAATATTTTGGGGTTTTTTATACGCGCTTTGTTTGAAGGAATATTTTCATTTCAAGGAACTTTGATACACATTAACAAACCTTGAGAAATCAGCACAATCAACCTTCATCAAATAAAACTAAAAGACAAAAAGTATAAGTTATAACAGAGTCAACATCATGATCAGTACAGTATTAAACATATATTATTCATAAATCATGAGCACCAAATGTACCTTGCCTACGAAGCGCAAACTTTTTATCTTCAAAAACTTGAAAAAGTGTCATGGCGGTGGGTGTGAAAAACCTGAAAAAATTGTCATATCGGCGGGTGTGCGCGTGGGACGAACAGTCCAATTCGGTGACGTCTACTGAGGTAAAGTGATGTTATATATTAAGACGATCTTGCCACAAAGACAAGGATTAAAACAAAATTGATGTTCTGTTTGTAAGTTTTGTTTGTTTATATGTGCTGTTCGTTGATAATTCAAACCAAGCTCCCAGACTAGCTTATCAACTCGCACGTACAGTGTTCTGTACGCTTACGTCATGTCGAGAATTCCGTAAAATATATTGTTCAAAATTTATCAATAGTTCAACCACACTGCTTCTTTTTTGAAATATATAGTAATCCTATTGTTATTAAAAAAATAACAAATTTTGGATGCTTTTAAAATAGCGATTTGAAAGATCGCGGCATTATTTACGCAGAAAATTGCCGCTAGAGGGCTCTAACTCTTTTCGATATTTCAGCCAATGAGAAGGCCAGGATCGATAAATTTTGTCTGAAAGGCCGTCGCAATAGGCTACGCGTACGCAGGCCGTCGCAATAGGCTAGGCGTACTGAGTACGTTTAGCCTAAAAACGACCTTTGGCCAGAACCTGGCGACTGCCAGGACCAGTGATATGGACTGTCGGGCAGCGTGGCCTTCGTCTTAGCACTAGTGTGTTTATTGAAAACTATTTATCCACGAAATCAAATGTCAATGAAAATGTGACTTTACAGTAATACAACAGAATAGTTTCATCGTCGTCATCTTTTGTTCATAAATAACATAATGCATGATACTCACGGAAGTGTTTGTACATGATATCTCATTAAATGGGTAGCATAGATTGAGAGAGTATTGAAACCCGTCCGCAGCAATCATATCTTTGAACCTAGGCAAAGAAAAATCAAAACAGACTTTTGTTTGTAACAATAACAAGTCATTTTCTGTTTAAGATGTAACCAATAAAACTATGCTGAAAAGAAACTATCTAAATGTGTGAATAAAAAAATTCATAGTTTTAAATAAAACGCAGAATATAATACTTAGTCCCGATAGAAATATTTTAATTGTTTAAACACATTCTTAAAAAAACATTACAAATCTTATACCCTTCCAATATATCTATAAATAGTTTGATCTTAGAGATGAAAAAAAGTGAGCTTGTTGTGAATATGAACCAAATTTGTTAAAGGACTCATGTTATGTCTGGCCCAGAAGACTGGAAGGGGCGGACGCACACACGCACGGACGGACAGACATAGTGATTAAGTCCTACTTTCTCATCATGTAAATAGGGATATAACAATAGGTTATACAGCAGATTAGACAGCAGTTAAAAGCTTCAGATCCTCTCCTTAAAGAACACACGGTGTACAAACAACATAGCTTATCATACACCCAGACACTCGCACAAACACTTACAATTCATACATACCAAAATTATTATACTTACATTATGATAAAATCAATAGCTTTGCAGTAACCTAACACTAATTCTATGTTTACGAGGGTGTATTATTTTGAAATCAATAAAGGAATAGCTAAATTTTAGTGAGAATTTACTTGTATTAACATTTAGTGTTACAGGCTAATAAATCCATAGCCACCGTCAACAGGAGCCATTCATTGTTCATGTTTAAGAATATAGATATATTCTGTCATACTAGCTAATGATTATATATGAAATGGGAGACCATTCAATGTTCTTATGAAATTTTAAAGGAAAACTAAAGGCCGATCCAAATATAAAAAAGCGGTGTTTAGGAAAGTTCCGGATATATTTGCACGTTCTTTGACGCGTTACGTAGGCGCTTCAAAACAAGACTATTAGCTATAACCTGTTTACAACCGTTTACAAAATTATAAATCACAAAATCAGAGAAAACAGAAGTATTAAGGAAAATTATTGGATTAAAAACCAATTTATTCTACCTTCGCTTCATTTTACGGGAAGTCTTCTTTTCGTAACATCTTGAAAAGGAAAAAATGAAGAAAAAACAAAATATTGCAGTGTTAAAAAAGTTTGAGAAATATTAGAGCGATCTTTGACGTCAAACAGTTTGACATTACACTTGACAACAAGACGACGCCATTCAAAATAGGCGGTTTTACTTTGTATACCACCATGTTATACTGTTAATTGAAAAGAATCGCTCACCAAGCTGTTTCTATATATAAAAAGTGAATTTTATTAGTTTTAAACTGGATTTTTTAAAGGCAGAACTGTTTAGGAAGTGTTTTAACATCAACTTGTGTGTTTTCTGGACGTTTTAAATGCACATGAAGACGAGAAAGTTCGATTTTTAAATTTGAATATCAACACCTGAGGGGTGAGTAGAATTCGATGACTCGTGAGAAGACTGGTGTGAATTAGCTCTCATCATAATCTTAAATTGACTTAAAAACTGTTATCGGATTGAAGTTAGTAGCTTCGGAAATATGATGGACTCCAACATGTTTGAGATACTTCAATGTGACGAGATAAATAGCGAAACTTTATCTCAACAAAGTGTTAGTGACATCGAGTCAGCAACGGCGACAACGATGACAGTCAGTGAAGCGGACAGTGACAGAGTGGTCAGCACTGTTGCGCTCGTGCATAAACCTGTACAGGTGAGTGGCACACAGAGAAAACGTAAAAAGGCCAACGATACCGATCAGTGTTGTACTCCAAAAACTAAGAAATGTAAGACTCAACCGAAATTAAAACAATTATCGAAACGTAAGGGTAAAAAACAACACGACCCGGAATCTGACCCTACCCCTGACCCCCCCGTCACCAATCCCACCTCATCCCAACGGTCTGATCAAACGGACATCGCACATATCAAAGACCTAATATCTTCACTAACAGACAACATGTCCAGCATGCATTATTTATTCACGAAAAGAATGGACAATCTTGAAAACAAAATAACTGATTCTTTACAAATCAAAATTAAAACTGAAGTTGAAAATGCGAAAAAGGAAGCTAAAAGTGATATTGAAAAAGAAATCCAAAATATGAGAATGGAGGTGGACAGAAAACTGAAAGGCTTGCGTGATTCGCTCAGGGATGAACTTAACCAAGGGACAAGGGGAAATACGAGTGTCAATGACCGACATTGCTTAGACATCTCAAACAACAAACACAGGAACATTGTAATTAAAAATTTGGAAATGTCAAAACAAGAAAAGAGTGACAATGGTAAAGACTTTACCAAACAAAACGTAAAAAAACTCCTACATGAAGGCCTAAACATGAACATCACCCTAGAAAACGTGGAGCGTAAACAATCTAGGAACACATACCCAGGTGTGATAATTGTAACATTAGACACAACAGAAAATAAGCAAAAAATAATGAGCACAAAGTCAAAACTAAGAAGCAACAGTAAATACAAAGACGTGTACATCGACAACGACAAAAGTAACATTGAACTGAAGGCCGACCGAGCTCTCAGACTAGCACAGAAAGGACCACGAGAACAAAATACGGCCGTGCACAAACGTACCCGGGGTGATCGCACGGGTAACAACAACTGGGGTGAACGAAGTACATCCTCGTATTCTGGATCACTCCACCGTGACGGGCAGCGTGACGGACAACGGGGCCCACGAAGGGACTCGACACCCTATAAACAACGCCGCAGCAGTTTCCAGGAGGATAGAGACGGATTTCAGGACAGACATAGGTACAACCAGAGAGGACGTAATAACAGGAGAGATCAAACTTCTAGATGGTCGGACTCGAAACGAAACGCATGGAGGTAGGAAGCACAGGAGTCGCGGGGTAAGGCACATATAGGTTTCCTCAATGTAGGTGGATGGGCTATGAGACAAGATGTTAAAGGTTCTCAAAATTCTTTTTTCAGAGAAACAGTTGTGAAATCCCTCAATTTTGATATATTTTGTTGTGCCGAAACATTTTGGAGAGATAAACATCACTTCAATATGACAGGTTACAAGTGTTTATATAAAAACAGAAAAACTAATTCTAGCGCCAAAAGAGGCAGTGGTGGTGTATGTATTTTCATAAAAGAGGATTTTTACCAAAAATATAAGTGTGTCACACTTGACGATTCAACTGAAGATTGTCTATGGGTTAAACTCGATGATGGTGATGGTGAAGTTTTTGTAATATGCGTATGTTACCTCCCTCCTAAAGATTCCTCACGAGCTTCTGACGCGGAAAGTGTCTTTAGTAGCTTGATAGAAAAAGTTTATCTGTACCAAAACTTAGGACATGTCTATGTGATTGGGGACTTCAACGCAAGATGTGGTGACCTTACTGATTATGTTGAAGGTGTCGATGACATAACAGACCGTATCGTTATCGACAGTACCATAAATGATCATGGTTATCAGCTGATCGATTTCCTCTCTGATACCAATTTTAGTATTGTTAACGGCAGGTTAGGTAACCAAAATTTTACCCAGGTGTCATCAAAGGGGAAGTCGGTTGTAGACTACTTACTAGTATCTCATGAAGGATTGAGCAGCGTTAAAGATTTTAATGTTCAGCTCATGTCTGATATTAGTGAACGCTTGTCATTAAATCATATTGACCGTATTCCTGATCATTCCTTGCTAGAATTCAAAATCAATTTATGTAGTGTAGAAAATGAAACAGATGTCACGAAAACAAAGTGTAATGGACCTAAACGATACGACACCAAATATATTCCTGAAAATTTCATGAATGATGATGATGCAATGAGGAAAATTTTAACGGCAATTGACGAAATAGAGCATGATTTAGAGGTTTCCTCCGATGTTAACCAAGCGTACAGCGACTTTACTAAGTTAATAGAAAGCGAAATGGAGGCTAAGTTACCAACACTAAAGGTTAGAGATAGTATGGGGAGAATAAACTCTACTCTGCGACGGAAACCTTATTGGACGGAAGAGTTACATAACTTAGTTCACGAGCGTAATGAAAGTGAGAGAAAATGGCTTAAGTGTAAGGGTCATGCAAATTTAAAGCGATTACTAAAAATTCAATATATAAATGACCGTAAACTTTTTAATAAAACACTTAGACAAGAAAAGCACCGATACCAAAAACTTAAACAAGATGAATTGCTCGACATGTGTAATAATTCCCCTACCGATTTCTGGAAGAAAATAGGTCAGCTTGGTATGCAAAGAGAGAGATCATATACCATACCAAATACAATGAGAGATGCAAGTGGTAACATTACGAAAAACTGTGATGAATCTTTAAAAGTTTGGTACGATTCTTTCCAGAATCTTCAAGGCGCTGACACTTCAGACGCTACAGTTGTAACAGAAGACATAGAAAGTATATTGGGGCCTAAGCTCGACACCGACAGTACTATATTGAACCTACCTATAACCCGTCAAGAAGTTGAAGATTCTGTTTATCGCGCTAAGTTAAATAAAGCGGCCGGTATCGACAATATTCAGAGCAATGTCCTCAGAAACCCAGTTTGTGTTGATCTTTTATATACAATTATTGTTCATTGTTTTAATAATGGCATAGTACCAGACAAATGGACACAGAGTATTATTAACCCCATTTTAAAAGCAGGAAAGGATCCATTGAATCCTCAAAGCTACAGAGGAATCGCACTTATATCTATCCCATGTAAAATTTACGCCGATGTTTTAAATATTCGGTTGTCAAAATGGTTAGAAACGAATGAATTACTGGTAGATGAACAAAACGGTTTTAGAAAGAATAGAAGTTGTTTAGATCACCAGTATTTATTGTACTCTATCATAAATAACCGAAAAATCCAGAAAAAATCTACTTTTGTATGTTTTGTTGACATGAAGAAAGCATTTGATTGTGTAAACAGAGATCTTTTGTGGGCTAAGCTAGAACATTATGGTTTAAATGGATATTTCTTGGATGCTATTAAATCTTTATATTTTAATTATGAATGTAGAATTAGAATAAACCGTGTTCTTACTCAACCTGTAACTATGAAGCAAGGTTTAAAACAAGGCTGTAACGCATCACCGACACTTTTTTCCATGTACATAAATGACTTAGCTAAAGACATTAATGATTTAAAATGTGGAGTAGATATAGAATCATGTGTCATCTCCATTCTTCTCTATGCTGATGATATTGCTCTCATTGGACCCGACGAAAAGTCAATGAAAAAGATGTTGAATGTATTAAATATGTGGTGTAAAAAGTGGAAAATCGAAATAAATCAAGATAAAACTAATGTAGTACACTTTAGAAATAATTCCATGCCTGTTACTGATCACACGTTTTCATGTGGTGATATAGTTATCGCCTTAAATACTAAGTACAAGTACTTGGGGCTATGGTTTGAGGAGCACATGGATTTGCATTTCACTGTAAAAGAACTCTGTAAATCTGCGAGCAGAGCACTAACATCGTTGTATGTAAAATATTCTCATGCCGGTGAAATGACATATGATGTGTTTAACAAGTTATATCAAACTTTAGTTCAACCGGTTCTTTTTTATGGCTGTGGAATATGGGGTATAAATAAATACCGTGAGGTGTCCACTGTACTCCACAAAGCGTGTAGATACTTTTTAGGCGCCTCCCGTCGATCAAGTAACTTAGCCCTCCGAGGTGATATGGGATGGCATTCTTGTAATGTTAATCAGGTTTTAGAAACGGTGCGCCTGTTTTTAAGAATAAAGTGTTGTAACGACAGCCGTCTTATGAAAAAAGTACACCTATGGTCTGTAAGGTTGAAAAAATCCTGGGATTCTAGAGTTATTACAGTCATAGAAGAGAAAAAATTAAGTGAAATTGTAAACTCGACATTTTCTATTAGAAACAAGATAAGAAATATTAAAGAAAAGTTAATTACTATAGATACAGAGGAATGGTACAACAGCTTGTGGAATGACAATAATAGTGTAAACGGTAACAAGTTGAGAACATACAGAACCTTTAAATCTGAGTTAGCGCCAGATTCTTATGTCAAACTCGTGACACAAAAAAAATAAACGGAGGGTAATTTTTAATTTAAGATGTGGTTCTCTACCTCTTGCAGTCGAAACCGGCAGATTTACCAAACCTGAGATTCCATTAGAGAACCGTGTTTGCAAAATATGTACAAATGTAAATAATTCGATAGAGGATGAGATACACTTTTTAATTGAATGTAATGTATATAATGATATTAGATCATCCTTATTTAGAGCAGGAATCGAAATAAGAAATGATTTTTTAAGCCTTAACGATTTAGAAAAATTTGATTTTATAATGTCTTGCAGGGAATTACAAATTCCACTTGCTAATAATTTATACAATATGTTCCGGAGACGTAGCACTTTAAGTGAGTAATCAATGTTTTAACAGTGTCTTGTAAGCCATTTCTGGCTGAATATCACGTATGATTACATTTTTAGAATATATGCTTTAATTGATTCGTTGGGTAAATCAGGAACTTTTTTATATCGATTGATCATCTATTATTAATTATAATTAATTATTGTAGGTAGCGTAAGTTTGGCAAACCTCGATGGTAGGGTTCTCCCCAACCCTTGGAATGCCAAATTTCACTACTGATGAATGTATCATAAATAATTTTTGCCATGTGTATTGTTTTATTATTTCATATATAACATGTAGCTACAGTATGGATGAGACCTATTTTAGTATTACAATATATATTATAATTTATATATTTCGTATATAATCCAGAGAGCTTGTTAGGTAGGGGCTGTCCCAATCACCTGTTCTCTGGATTACGATCTGTGATAAGTAAGTTTTAATTCATGATATTGGATTTACCTGGTTTAGTTTAATATGATTGATCCCAACGGTCTCACTATGGTTTTATATTGTGTACTTACATATGATGTAATTGTGATATATGACACTTTAATAAACAAATTTTGTATTGTGTATTGTATAAAATAAGAGGAAAAAAAGTACACGGAAAACCTATTTAGCACACGCTGCATTTGCGTCCGAACAGGAAAATCGGGGAATTCCAAAGCAGTGACCAGCAATCACAACTCTGGTCGGCCAAATGTGCGAAAATTAAGTCATCACTAGTGACTGATATAAAAGTTTTATATGGGTTTTATCAAGTTGGTAAATTCCTACATGAAACTGGCAAAATTGTAATAAAAAGGATTTCATTTCGGATTCATTGCTGAATATTTTTACAGACCTAGTCCCAGATTCACGCATCTTCCAGGGGCTATGGTAGTTTAAATTTATGACACTACCATAGAAAAGCATTACGTCAGTTAAGGAAAACCTGAATCAAAGGACGTTTCCTACACTTATCTAATGCTTTTCTAAGGGGAATTTTAGTTAAGTGAAATATATATAATAGCTGTAAATGGGTTGGTTAAAATGGTACATGGTTCCAGGGGTGTAGAGAGTGAAAGTTACTGTAACCCCTGAAGTATCGAGGATGGTTCCAGGGGTGTAGAGAGTGAAAGTGACTGTAACCCCTGAAGTATCGAGGATGGTTCCAGGGGTGTAGAGAGGGAAAGTGACTGTGACCCCTGAAGTATCGAGGATGGTTCCAGGGGTGTAGAGAGTGAAAGTGACTGTAACCCCTGAAGCATCGAGGATGGTTCCAGGGGTGCAGAGAGGTAAAGTGACTGTAACCCCTGGAGTATCGAGGATGGTTCCAGGGGTGTAGAGAGTGAAAGTTACTGTAACCCCTGAAGTATCGAGGATGGTTCCAGGGGTGTAGAGAGTGAAAGTTACTGTAACCCCTGAAGTATCGAGGATGGTTCCAGGGGTGTAGAGAGGGAAAGTGACTGTGACCCCTGAAGTATCGAGGATGGTTCCAGGGGTGTAGAGAGTGAAAGTGACTGTGACCCCTGAAGTATCGAGGATGGTTCCAGGGGTGCAGAGAGGTAAAGTGACTGTAACCCCTGGAGTATCGAGGATGGTTCCAGGGGTGTAGAGAGTGAAAGTTACTGTAACCCCAGAAGTATCGAGGATGGTTCCAGGGGTGTAGAGAGTGAAAGTGACTGTGACCCCTGAAGTATCGAGGATGGTTCCAGGGGTGTAGAGAGGGAAAGTGACTGTAACCCCTGAAGTATCGAGGATGGTTCCAGGGGTGTAGAGAGTGAAAGTGACTGTGACCCCTGAAGTATCGAGGATGGTTCCAGGGGTGCAGAGAGGTAAAGTGGCTGTAACCCCTGGAGTATCGAGGATGGTTCCAGGGGTGTAGAGAGTGAAAGTTACTGTAACCCCTGAAGTATCGAGGATGGTTCCAGGGGTGTAGAGAGTGAAAGTGACTGTGACCCCTGAAGTATCGAGGATGGTTCCAGGGGTGTAGAGAGTGAAAGTGACTGTAACCCCTTGAATATCAAAGATGCAATTAATGACACGATTCTCTCGTACATACCGTATAGAAATGAGTTTACCTGATAAGATAATCAATTTGATGGTTTTAGCAATTTTCAATTGAAATTTGCCTGTCTTAGAGGAAATTAGCTAGATTGTTTTAGCTTATTCTCTGATCGAAATTCGCTTGCCTTTTGAGTTGATTAATAAGAAGAAATAAACCGATTTCCGAACATCGATAAGAGAGATTAAAATTTACTGATAACAAACTATTTCAGTGAATTGTTACGCTCACGTGCTTACAGGGACGTGCATCACATTTTGAATTCTGTATATATCTGTATATTTACATAGGGCTTCCGTCCTGGTTGCCGAGTGTAGAAACATCAACATCACCGCTGCCATCGTCCATTGAACAGGAACACAAATCTCTCTGTGTGCACGAGAGTGCACGTGTCCCCGAGAAAATAGTAAAACACAAAACTATAACATTTGTCCAATACATGATAAACCGCGAATTTCACGGCGCTACAAAATTACACAAATCCCACATGAAACACAAGAGCACGAATCAACGTCTTAGTCCATACATTGACTTTATAACGCTGGAGCATTTGTACTGTGTACCTATGTATAAGTTGTATGTAGATAAAGCTTGTTATCTTACTCAGTTTTATCTCGTAGATTTGTTCTTCAAGAAAAAAGAAGGCTGATTTTGTGTTTAAGAGAGGACACACACTTACTACCAGGGACGTACTGTATAATACATACTGTCATACTAATTAACAAGCATTTAAGATGTAGTATTAGGGGATGGTGTAGAAACATTTTGCAAAATAAGAATATATGGTCAGTACAAAAACAGACAGACTGACAGACAGACAGCTAGACAGACAGACAAATAGACAGACAGAGAACTAGACAGACAGATAGACGGGTGGACAGCTAGACAGACAGATAGACGGACAGAAAGCTCGACAGACAGCTAGACAGACAGACGGACCATTCCACTGTTAATTACATTTAGTTATTACATACAGTTGTTTACGTGTACATCTTCCGATCAATCATTCAGTCGTTCCCCAGTAAAACTTTTATAAGACAAAATAGGCTTAAGACGGGAATTCTTGTTTATCACGAACATCCACTGATTGGACTTCCTTTTGTAAGTTATTTCTACTACCATTGTGAACAATGCTTTATTAACAATTTTATACGAAGTAATATATCATAATTTTCTATACAGGAAGAAGCATGCTGTTATGTTTGATTTTACAGGAGGACATATAGAGTGATATATCAATATATAAATATACAATAAAAAAAGTACACCGTATTAAAAAAAGACATATTCGGTCAGTTTATAAACTAATTCATGCAAATGCTACATGGTGTAGTGCCAACACACATCAAACACACGATAACCATGCATTTAAAACGTTAAAATATCCGTACTGAATGTTTTGACACCTCTGCATGGGAGCGATCTTGTCCAGTTTTATACAAGTTGAGATCTTTTTTATTTGTTTATCTTTTAAAGATTTATATATCTATATGAATAGACAATTATAAGATTTGACAAATACTGATGTAAGATTTATTTTTCGTTTTTTGAAACGGTATATTCTTCAGAACTCAGTACAGTATCTGTATGTTCGATCTAGGTCAAAGGTCAAAGCACCTGCATGTGCGCAGCAACAAGTGATGCTGACTGCCTGCTCACGCCTTCATGATTTATCATGCCGCTACAGAATATAATTTGACCGGCGCCAGCGAACCATGTTATTGTTACAGATTGTAATTGGAAACACAGTGATGTAATAAAATAAAAAGTAATCGATATGTATAACGGTTACATTAGCTCCGCGTTACTGTTGGATAACGTAAAGCGGAAATGCATGCGTTGGAATCAATTGCGAACTATTTTCAATGATCGCTAGATTGAGAGGAAAAACTTTCTGAAAAGTTCCAAACTTTGTCAACAACAAGCGGAATTATGAATATATTATGGAAGTCAGAAGAGGATTATTACCTCAAAATAGTGTAGGCCTGGTTATTGAGTATAATGGAGAAACTAGGTGTACATATCGCCATTCTGGTACTTTGTTTATCAACTTGGTGTGCAGGTAAGTTACTCCCAGACTTTCATAGTGTGACAGGAGCAAGTAATACTGCTAGGTGGTCTTTGTTTGTTATCATGGTCACCACTTACTTTACAACTTCTACAGAGCTAGTTAGGTATAGACTAATTTGAAAGTATAGTACTCGTGGTAGTTCATCGGCTACAGAGGCTGGATGACTTGCATAAGTCCCATAGTAAGTAAGGAGTTTGAAAAAAGAATAATTGGAAACAACAATAAATATTTGGCAAAGTAGTTCATTCACATTATTTAGACCTCAAATGACCTTATTTAGTACGTATACGCACATATCTAACTGAAACTAATTTTTTTCATACATATTACATGTATATACAAGGACAAAGTGGAATATTCCAGCTATTTTAGTCAATATTTAAGACTAGAGACACCCCCTTCCACCCCCTTCTTTAAAAAAAAAAGTCCTCAATGAAAACATGTTTGAAAAAGATTGTCTGGCGCTTGTAGCTCTGTCACCTACCGCCAGACAACACGACAAGAAAGAATTTCTTACAATGCATTACATAACGGGAAGAGTTATCTCCCCTACACCAAAGTTAACGCCAATACTGCTATTATATTAGGTGATAACAATCAGTAGAGATCGACACTTTATAATTTAGTCAATTAGTCAGGTTCATTGATATATAAAATTAAAGACACAGTACACAGTAGACAATATACTGGGGTACAGTAGACACACTTGGTACAATAGAGGGATGTATCTTGTACAGCAGCAGGCCTCGACGTTAACTTTTTTCAGTACTTGCCCAGCTGGGCGAGTGCTATTCAATTTCTACTTGCCCATTGCCGAAATTAACTTGCCCTTACAAATGATGTTGAATTATTAGGTTTTTACTCTAGTGTAAACATTACATTTATGTTCCTTTAGATTGTCTTTTATTTACTCTTAAAATGTAATGAAGTAACAAGTTTATGTTTTTATTTAGAATTAGGCCTTAGTGATCTTTCACCAGCTTCTCACCAGTGCTTAATAGCCAAGTTTGGGTCAAATTCTGAGGTACTTGGTCCATTAACTGAAATCCTCATCAAATGGTCAAGGGTGTCTACTCCAAGGCTTGATCTCCAGTCTGTTTTGATACGTTTGACTGCAGAGAATCCTCTTTCCACACAGCGAGTTGAGAGAGGCGTAATAAGTACAAGCTCTAACAGACCTAACAAAACTTGGTGACGATTTTCTAATAGAGAGACCTGTAGCACAAACGACAAAAATGACCAGACACCAGGATCTTGAAATCAGTCCATTCATCTTTCACATCATCAAGCTGAATTTCATTTTTTTCCAGCAAAACTTTCCAATATTCCAACAAGACATCTACCATATCATCACCCAACGTTGACAAATCTTGTTTTGTAGTAGGCCAAAATGTAGTGTCCATCAGATCTGATGCTTTCATCATAGGATTTTCCACCCAGCTTTTAAACCTACAATCCATAAAATCACTCAACAAATCTAAGATTTTGGTTTTTGTCTTTTCCAAATTATGCAAATCATTGGTGTTTTTTTTAAGTTCAATCCCATGAAACTTTGCACCCTCCCCTGTTTCATCAAGAAAATTTTGCAGATTAGGACCTGGTTTATTGTGCATTGCAATGAAAGACAACAAAGCTCTTTCTGCAAAGTCCTTAACATAATTTATTGTTGTGTTGTCTTTTTGGAAAACAAGACTAACTTGTGCCAAAATTTCAAGGAGATCAAGCATGAAACACATAAATGCAACATTTCTGTATTCATCCATAAATGTTGCAACATGCTTTGCCTTACCTTGCATTTTCACAGAACTGGATGATGTAACTAGGGCATTATGGAAGTGAGAGTGAATTATGTGAAAACTTTTCAGGAAAGCTTTAAGAGCCTTTTCCAAATGGGGCAACCATCTTGTGCCAACAACATTGACAGGTTTTATAACCTACTCCTCATAGATCTGAACAATTTCTCTCAATTCTCGTACGGCTCAAGGGGAGTATTTGTAATACTTATAGATATGTTTCAACATTTCTTTCACATCATCAAGAAGCTTTTCTGCTTTAAGTGCATCTAGTGCTGCCAATTCCAAATTGTGCTACACACCAAAAACCTGACATCCATGGAATATCTTTCTTCAACTTAACATGTACACCATTTGCTTTGCCAGTATAAACTGAAGCACCATCTGATCCTAAATGGACTAATTTCTCCTTCCAGTTTTCAATCCCAACTGCACAAAAACCCTTGTCGATAGTCTCAATAACACCATCTGCAGTACCACTGACTAATTCATGAGCTGTCAATTATTCATTGACCAGTACACCTTCATCTAAATACCTAACATACATCAACTCTAGATCTTCTGTACTAGTATCAGTACCCCCATCAAACATTAAAGAAAAATAAGAATTTTTCAAAGATTCTGAAAATTTGTTTTTCATGACTGTACAAGGTGATCCAATAAATTCCTTACATTTCTTTCAGTTTGATAACTTTCACCCATATCTACATTATGTTTGTTCATATTTCTTAGTGCTAACTTTATCCCACCTGTATCTGGATTTTCTTTTGCTTCCCTAGCTTTCAAACAAAGCCAATGCAACTTATTCTTATCATGTGCTTTCACACTTGTGAGATTGAAACTATCATTACCCAAGTAAAACGCACTTGTTTTATCAGCCATGTCGTGAACTTTGTACAAACTGAGCAATACATTTTACCCTCTCACTCAACTAAACATGGATAAATTTCGGCCCAGTGAGGTTTAAATACTCTTATTTTTTCATATGTTTGATCATGTTCTTTTTTATTGTGCGATCTTTGTCGCTTATAGCCATCATCGCGATCAGGTTGCCTTTTGCCAGTGAACCTGAATTTATGTAATGACATACTGCATACTGGCTTCGTAGTCAACAGCAAAATGACAGAAATTTTGCACACGCACCTTCCCACAATTCCATACCGTCAGTAGTCTACTTTCTGTTGAGTGATGTAAGGTTAGTGACAAAACATGCCACTTAAACATATTCTTTCTATTTCTTGACACTAGTAATTTCAATTTGTGCTAATACGAGCTTTGTCTTTATTGATAAAATATGCATGTGCTTGTTTCAAGACTCTATTACCGATATATTTTGTCTCAACCATTTCGCTGACTAGAGCATGTGCAGTGAATGTCAGTGACTGTGAAACCATAAGCTATTTCTAGGCAGTCGGTTCTAGTATTAACGTCTGTCATTTAATTAAAGGAAACAATTGTCAGGAGGTGCTATTTTAGAGTTTACATTTCAGACAGACTTAAGTAAGAAAATGTAGTTATGATTTTCAATACGATATTTCTACCGGTACCGGACATGATTGTTGACAGAAGACTTTGATCACGTATCTGGCTGAATGTTTTTTGCGAGACAGATTGGGCAAATTACTGGTAAAATCATGTTGCCCGACACAAATTGGGCAACTGTTAACTTTGAGCCCTGCAGCAGACGGATAAATCTGGTAAAGTAGACAGGTGTATCTGATACAGTAGACAGATGTATCTGGTAAAGTAGACAGATGTATCTGGTACAGCAGACAGATGTATCTGGTACAGTAGACAGATGTATCTGGTACAGTAGACAGATGTATCTGGTACAGCAGACAGATGTATCTGGTACAGTAGACAGATGTATCTGGTACAGCAGACAGATGTATCTGATACATTAGACAGATGTATCTGGTACAGTAGACAGATGTATCTGGTACAGTAGACAGATGTATCTGGTACAGCAGACAGATGTATCTGGTACAGTAGACAGATGTATCTGGTACAGTAGACAGATGTATCTGGTACAGCAGACAGATGTATCTGATACATTAGACAGATGTATCTGGTACAGTAGACAGATGTATCTGTACAGCAGACAGATGTATCTGGTACAGCAGACAGATGTATCTGGTACAGTAGACAGATGTATCTTGTACAGTAGACAGATGTATCTGGTACAGTAGACAGATGTATCTTGTACAGTAGACAGATGTATCTGGTACAGCAGACATGTATCTGGTACAGCAGACAGATGTATCTGGTAGACAGATGTATCTGGTACAGTAGACAGATGTATCTTGTACAGTAGACAGATGTATCTGGTACAGCAGACAGATGTATCTGGTACAGTAGACAGATGTATCTGGTACAGTAGACAGATGTATCTGGTACATTAGACAGATGTATCTGGTACAGTAGACAGATGTATCTGGTACAGCAGACAGATGTATCTGGTACAGTAGACAGATGTATCTGGTACAGCAGACAGATGTATCTGATACATTAGACAGATGTATCTGGTACAGTAGACAGATGTATCTGTACAGCAGACAGATGTATCTGGTACAGCAGACAGATGTATCTGGTACAGTAGACAGATGTATCTTGTACAGTAGACAGATGTATCTGGTACAGTAGACAGATGTATCTTGTACAGTAGACAGATGTATCTGGTACAGCAGACATGTATCTGGTACAGCAGACAGATGTATCTGGTACAGTAGACAGATGTATCTGGTACAGCAGACAGATGTATCTGGTACAGTAGACTGATGTATCTGGTACAGTAAAACATAATGTAAATGAATATATTATTTGCAGTTTTTCTTTGAGAAATCAAAGGTCCAAAGTAGGGGTTGGGGGTCAGGTATGCAAAACAGAAATAGGAAGGAATTCACTGTTGATTTATGAGCAACAGTTATAAATAAAATAGTTACTGTATATATTAATGTATACTATCTGAGTCAATATCATCCAAATCAGGACAAAGCATTTAAAAATGTTATGACAGGAAACTGCTGTCTGGTAAATATGTTGATTTTAATTTGATTATCTTTTGAAACACTTGCATGGGTTTTAGATGTAGGGAGAGTGAGAGATTTCAAGTTCAGGGTTTTAGATGAAGGGAGAGGGAGATATTTCAAGTTCAGGGTTTTAGATGTAGGGAGAGGGAGATATTTCAAATGCAGGGCTTTAGAGAGGGCGGTACAGGTTTTTAGGTGACCTATTGCAACATGTTATCGGGCATCGTGCCTCAATGTGTCATGCATCTGTTAACTTTTGACATTTTTTATTTCTTTTTATTAAAAACCCTAAACCAATTTCATTGAAATTTTGCAGAAACCTTCCCTAGCATAATATGAAGTAAAATAGTAAATTATACAGTGTCCATTCCACAGGGGCCTCAGGGACAGGGCAGAGTCTCATATAGACTTAAATTTCAAAAATCTTCTTATCAACATCCAGAGATTGGTAAAATCAAATGCTCATCATGGTTGGAAATGTCTTAAGGTGTTTTACTAAAATTGTGAATTTCATGGCTTTAGGGTCTCACATTTCCAATTTCAATTTCAATTGGAAATGTTTTAAACTTTGTTAGAATTGTGAGTGAAAGATGACCGCTTGATGGTATGCCCATATTGATCCTGGCTGACCCCCAGGGGCTGATGAGCAGGGTCAAAAGGGGTCAAATTGACTCAGATTACAAAAATCTTCCTTTCAACATCCAGATATGGTAGAATCAAATGCTCTTGATGGATGGAAGTGCCTTTAGGTGCTTTACCAAAAAAAATCGTAGGTTTATCCTTGGTGAGGAGGTTCACGTTACTAAAATGATTTTAGAAAGTTGTATTTTGGAGCATTTTGTTTATTTCCCATTGGAAATAACTTTTGATGGTATGCATGTCTTGAGACTGGCTTACTGTCATCAATGTCAGAAATTCTTTTTTGTGACACTCAAAATCTATCTTTATATTCAATATCACTTATCTCAGGTGATTCTCAAGGCTGCTAGGTCTCCTGTTTATATTGAATGACTTTCCTTCTTCAACTCGAGATATCAGGGAATGCTGATAATGATGAAATATTCTTATATTTTCAGTTGCCAGTGACAGGAAATGGTACAAAGGCTGTTACAAAGACAATTCTAGACCTGAGGTACCAGTTGGGGACAACACAAAAATATGGGGCTTACCATGGGGGACTCGCAATGAAACTGACCAAGACAACTGTTTAGTTGTAGAATGCTGCAGAAAATGCTTCTTACAAAGGTAAAATAAATATTCATCTACTTCTGTACATATCTTATCTGTAAAGTTTCCAGAACATAACCCTTCAATAATTTGTGATGACCAAAAAACCTTGTCACATTTCCTACACAAGCTGTCAGGGAAGCAAAGTGTGCATTGTCATCTGAGTGACAGAGAAGTGCCATCTTAACAATACACAATGTTGACCTGCTCCTTTATATCAGCATCCTTGTTTTTTCTTGAGTCATTTCAATATATCAAGACAAGATTCTCAATATCACACACTGTGGGATTTGTCAGGTGCCTGTCTAAAAGAACACTGAACACTGTTCCTATTCAATGATCTGACGTGAATGGTTCATTAGGCGAGTGCCAGAGACCATATCTAACACTGAACATTATGTATACGGCATTATTATATTAGGGTAGTGGTATTAATGAATTAGGGTAGAGGTAATACAGTATTAGGGTAGAGGTAATACAGTATTAGGGTAGAGGTAATACTGTATTAGGGTATAGGTAATAGGTAATACTGTATTAGGGTAGAGGTAATACTGTATAGGTAGAGGTAATACTGTATTAGGGTAGAGGTAATACAGTATTAGGGTAGAGGTAATGCTGTATTAGGGTAGAGGTAATACTGTATAGGGTAGAGGTAATGCTGTATAGGGTAGAGGTAATGCTGTATTAGGGTAGAGGTAATACTGTATTAGGGTAGAGGTAATACAGTATTAGGGTAGAGGTAATACAGTATTAGGGTAGAGGTAATACTGTATAGGGTAGAGGTAATGCTGTATTAGGGTAGAGGTAATACTGTATAGGGTAGAGGTAATACTGTATAGGGTAGAGGTAATGCTGTATTAGGGTAGAGGTAATACAGTATTAGGGTAGAGGTAATACTGTATTAGGGTAGAGGTAATACTGTATAGGGTAGAGGTAATACTGTATTAGGGTAGAGGTAATACTGTATTAGGGTAGAGGTAATAGGTAATACTGTATTAGGGTAGAGGTAATAGGTAATACTGTATTAGGGTAGAGGTAATAGGTAATACTGTATTAGGATAGAGGTAATACTGTATTAGGGTAGAGGTAATACTATATTAGGGTAGAGGTAATACTGTATAGGGAAGAGGTAATACTGTATAGGGTAGAGGTAATACTGTATTAGGGTAGAGGTAATAGGTAATACTGTATTAGGGTAGAGGTAATAGGTAATACTATATTAGGGTAGAGGTAATACTGTATAGGGTAGAGGTAATACTGTATTAGGGTAGAGGTAATAGGTAATACTGTATTAGGGTAGAGATAATACTATATTAGGATAGAGGTAATACTGTATTAGGGTAGAGGTAATACTGTATTAGGGTAGAGGTAATACAGTATTAGGGTAGAGGTAATGCTGTATTAGGGTAGAGGTAATACTGTATAGGGTAGAGGTAATGCTGTATAGGGTAGAGGTAATGCTGTATTAGGGTAGAGGTAATACTGTATTAGGGTAGAGGTAATACAGTATTAGGGTAGAGGTAATACAGTATTAGGGTAGAGGTAATACTGTATAGGGTAGAGGTAATGCTGTATTAGGGTAGAGGTAATACTGTATAGGGTAGAGGTAATACTGTATAGGGTAGAGGTAATGCTGTATTAGGGTAGAGGTAATACAGTATTAGGGTAGAGGTAATACTGTATTAGGGTAGAGGTAATACTGTATAGGGTAGAGGTAATACTGTATTAGGGTAGAGGTAATAGGTAATACTGTATTAGGGTAGAGGTAATAGGTAATACTGTATTAGGGTAGAGGTAATAGGTAATACTGTATTAGGGTAGAGGTAATAGGTAATACTGTATTAGGATAGAGGTAATACTGTATTAGGGTAGAGGTAATACTATATTAGGGTAGAGGTAATACTGTATAGCGTAGAGGTAATAGTGTATAGGGTAGAGGTAATACTGTATTAGGGTAGAGGTAATAGGTAATACTGTATTAGGGTAGAGGTAATAGGTAATACTATATTAGGGTAGAGGTAATACTGTATAGGGTAGAGGTAATACTGTATTAGGGTAGAGGTAATAGGTAATACTGTATTAGGGTAGAGGTAATACTATATTAGGATAGAGGTAATACTGTATTAGGGTAGAGGTAATACTGTATTAGGGTATAGCTAATACTGTATTACGGTAGAGGTAATACTGTATTAGGGTAGAGGTAATACTGTATTATGGTAGAGGTAATACTGTATTAGGGTATAGGTAATACTGTATTAGGGTAGAGGTAATACTGTATTAGGGTAGAGGTAATACTGTATTATGGTAGAGGTAATACTGTATTAGGGTATAGGTAATACTGTATTAGGGTAGAGGTAATACTGTATAGGGTAGAGGTAATACTGTATTAGGGTATAGGTAATACTGTATTACGGTAGAGGTAATACTGTATTAGGGTAGAGGTAATACTGTATTATGGTAGAGGTAATACTGTATTAGGGTATAGGTAATACTGTATTAGGGTAGAGGTAATACTGTATTAGGGTATAGGTAATACTGTATTACGGTAGAGGTAATACTGTATTAGGGTAGAGGTAATACTGTATTATGGTAGAGGTAATACTGTATTAGGGTATAGGTAATACTGTATTAGGGTAGAGGTAATACTGTATAGGGTATAGGTAATAGGTAATACAGTATTAGGGTAGAGGTAATACTGTATTAGGGTAGAGGTAATACTGTATTAGGGTAGAGGTAATACTGTATAGGGTAGAGGTAATACTGTATTAGGGTAGAGGTAATAGGTAATACTGTATTAGGGTAGAGGTAATACTGTATTAGGGTAGAGGTAATAGGTAATACTGTATTAGGGTAGAGGTAATACTGTATTAGGGTAGAGGTAATACTGTATTAGGGTAGAGGTAATAGGTAATGCTGTATTAGGGTAGAGGTAATACTGTATTAGGGTAGAGGTAATACTGTATTAGGGTATAGGTAATACTGTATTACGGTAGAGGCAATACTGTATTAGGGTAGAGGTAATACTGTATTATGGTAGAGGTAATACTGTATTAGGGTATAGGTAATACTGTATTAGGGTAGAGGTAATACTGTATAGGGTATAGGTAATAGGTAATACAGTATTAGGGTAGAGGTAATACTGTATTAGGGTAGAGGTAATACTGTATTAGGGTAGAGGTAATACTGTATAGGGTAGAGGTAATACTGTATTAGGGTAGAGGTAATAGGTAATACTGTATTAGGGTAGAGGTAATACTGTATTAGGGTAGAGGTAATAGGTAATACTGTATTAGGGTAGAGGTAATACTGTATTAGGGTAGAGGTAATAGGTAATACTGTATTAGGGTAGAGGTAATACTGTATTAGGGTAGGGGTAATACTGTATTAGGGAAGAGGTAACACTGTATAGGGTAGAGGTAATACTGTATAGGGTAGAGCTAATACTGTATTAGGGTAGAGGTAATACAGTATTAGGGTAGAGGTAATACTGTATTAGGGAAGAGGTAACACTGTATAGGGTAGAGGTAATACTGTATAGGGTAGAGCTAATACTGTATTAGGGTAGAGGTAATACAGTATTAGGGTAGAGGTAATACTGTATAGGGTAGAGGTAATGCTGTATTAGGGTAGAGCTAATACTGTATTAGAGTAGAGCTAATACTATATTAGGGTAGAGGTAATACTGTATAGGGTAGAGGTAATACTGTATAGGGTAGAGGTAATACTGTATTAGGGTAGAGGTAATACGGTATTAGGGTAGAGGTAATAGGTAATACTGTATAGGGTAGAGGTAATACTGTATTAGGGTAGAGGTAATACTGTATTAGGGTAGAGGTAATGCTATATTAGGGTAGAGGTAATACTGTATTAGGGTAGAGGTAATACTGTATTAGGGTAGAGGTAATGCTATATTAGGGTAGAGGTAATACTGTATTAGGGTAGAGGTAATACTGTGTTAGGGTAGAGGTAATAGGTAATGCTGTATTAGGGTAGAGGTAATACTGTATAGGGTAGAGGTAATACTGTATAGGGTAGAGGTAATACTGTATTAGGATAGAGGTAATACGGTATTAGGGTAGAGGTAATAGGTAATACTGTATAGGGTAGAGGTAATACTGTATTAGGGTAGAGGTAATACTGTATTAGGGTAGAGGTAATGCTATATTAGGGTAGAGGTAATACTGTATTAGGGTAGAGGTAATACTGTATTAGGGTAGAGGTAATGCTATATTAGGGTAGAGGTAATACTGTATTAGGGTAGAGGTAATACTGTGTTAGGGTAGAGGTAATAGGTAATGCTGTATTAGGGTAGAGGTAATACTGTATAGGGTAGAGGTAATACTGTATTAGGGTAGAGGTAATACTGTATAGGGTAGAGGTAATGCTGTATTAGGGAAGAGGTAACACTGTTGTAACGTGGGACAGGCCTCTGTGCAGTATATCAGGAAATCAACACAAGAATGCAACAAATGAACATATACACAAATTTATTAACATAGAGAACATGAAAACTACAGACACCCAGTCACACTCACAATCACTCTCCATTCATACACTTTAACAGTAAAGATGGCTACAGTCTCTTCACAGACAAGGTACAAGGTGGTCTCACAATCAACATCTCCAATGTGTCGAATAGTGCACACGGAGGGTGCACGCAAAACAACTTCCGTGGACTGACAAAGTCCGAGTTGTAAAGGAACGACTCGCTCAGTTCCCAACACCAAGACGAATCGCTGACAAAGCAACCGTATCCTGAAAACTCCCTCACTGATAGGGCGGTGACTAGCTTACATATTACAGCCGAGTCGCTACATGACAGCCTGTCCCTGGAGACAATCCTTCTTTGCAGTTGACCTAGACCCTGAGTAACTGAGATATAATATTGGTCGGTCCCGTTACTGCACAGCGAAGACCTGGCACTCCAGCGGTGCTGACCTTCTGTAGGCTCTATGGTGATTTACCCATCATGTGAAGCTTAAAACAAAAACAAAAGACCACTAAACGTTCATCCTTCC